TCGGGGGTGCAGCAAACGGGCGCGATCACACCACAACATCTGGGAAGTGGCGTGCACCCGTCCCCGATCTGTCCCTTCAGGCCGAAAACGTGCAGTAAAAAAAACCCGAGGAAATAGTAGGACCAACCTGAAACGCCGCAGCAAGCGCGGCCGTGGGATCGCCGGCGCGCCCGTCTTCAGGAGCATTCGAGGCTCTCGGCCAAACTGCGCATGTGCACACATGTGCAGCCGGCTGCCTCGCTCTCCTTTCGTGCCGGGGAGCAACTGTGCGGCAGCTCAGGGGATCTTTCTGATCCCGCCGCCACGTGTCTCTTTTGGTGCAGCCTAGGTAAACTTTTTAGCAATTGCACATCATATGAGAAAGCAACACCTGGCTCTAAAGAAAATCTTTTTTCATATATTTATTTCTGGATATGTGTTGCTTTGCAATAATAATATTGGCCACTGAGGAAGGCCTAAGGGGCCTAAACACGTATGGTCTACTGGTCATAAGGTATAAACATCAACTGAATATGTGAAACTATCAGCTCTGTGTGTAAAAACTTTTAAGAGTCTGATATTTGGAGCTGCGGCGGCTCAAGTGGTTAAGACGCTGAACTGCAGGCTGTGGAAGGTCAGTAGTTCAGCAGTTCGAGACCTGAGTGTGCCGCATGATGGAGTGAGCTCCCGTCTCTAGTTCCAGCTCCTGCCAACCTAGCAGTTCGAAAGCAAGACATTGCAAGTAGATAAATAGGGACCACTTCGGTGGGAAGGGAACAGCGTTCCGTGTGCCTTGGTGTTTAGTCATGCCGGCCACATGACCACGGAAACGTCTTTGGACAGCACTGGCTCTTTGGCTTGGAAACAGAGATGAGCACCGCAACCCTAGAGTCGGATCCGACTGGCTTTTGAGCAAGGAAACCTTTACCTTTACCTTACACCATATTAAATATTTGTATTTTTACAATAACTTATGTGGTTAGCTTGACCCTCATAGCTCACAGCCATACCTTGGGTTGAGTCCCCACTCCCTCCCCTTTTTTTCCTCGTTTTTTGTAAAATACTGTTGGCCTGCGAGGATTTAATTACTGATTTTTAACACAAAGCCAAAACTGTTATTCTTGACAGGGTCCTTGCCGGCGAGAAATGGAAGACATGTTAAACAACCTAAAGATCCTGAACGTCTTAAGCCCGAGGGGATTGCATATTCCCAACTGCGACAAGAAGGGGTTCTACAAGAAAAAACAAGTGAGTTGCGTTTCCGCGTTTCGCCCTCTTCTTTACCAAATTAGGCGGATCTCGTTTCCAGCGTCACCTTTGCGAGGGAAAACAAACCAGTGTTCATTGCGTGCCATTTTTAATTGAATATTAATTTGGCAACCGTTTTTTTTTGGGGGGGCACCTGACGACTTTGCTCCAACACGGCACGCCAGGTGCGGTCGGTGTTTGTATCCGCCGTCGTTCATGACAACCGATTCAGTCTGAGAAACCTCATTCTGAAGTCACAGACGAAACGACCCCCAAATCCTAGACACCAGCGCCCTTCAGTTTAAAAAAGGAAACAGCTCTCTGAAAGGGGGGGGGGAAGAGAGCGAGAGACTGAGAAACATGTTACCGTCCCATCATATGACTGTAATGGATCAACGCTTTTGAATTGCAAAATAGTTGCCTGAGGGTTCCTAGAAGGATTGAGTCCGGTCATGTTACCGACAGCAACCCGAGGAACCCCATATAGCTGTTCTGTATTTGCTCCAGAGGATCACTTCCAAAATCTAGGTCACGTGGTCAGGAAAGTGATACGGGAGCTCAGCATTGGCTTCCTCGTAAGGTGGCCTCTCCGCCACCCCGGGTTTTCCATCTGCATCAGCCCCGGCGAGGTTGTGACCTTTCTTGACAAGTGCAGATCGCCTAACCTTGGAGACGTGCAAACCGAACGGCAGCAGTGTGCTTCCTTGGTGGCACTGCCGCCCCCAACGGCATTCTCGATAACGTCGGCTCATTCACTTCACGGTAAATATCTCTGCTTGTTTAAAAAACAAATGGCTTTTCTTCCCCGATTTGTGGTAAAACCGTTCCTCAGTTGATCAGAGAGGTCTGCAGGATTCTGCCGTGAAAGGAAGTGTTCGTAAAGGGCCACCGAGTACCGCTGCCGATTTATGGCATTCCAAGCAAGAGACTTTCAGGACAAGTGAGAAGCAGAGGTGTTTTGCCATTGCCTGTCCTCTGCGGAGTCTTTCTGGGTGGCCTCCCTTGAACGTACCGACCCTGCTTAGCTTCCGAGATCTTACCAGATTGGACTGTACCCATGCCGCCGCCCCTCCCATGAAAGAAATGGAAGGAAATCCATGCATTATGCTGCGATGCAAAACTCAGTACATTTTTTTAAAAATCCAGATAAGCGCAGCCAGTCATAAGAAAGAAGAGCCCTGCCGGATCAGTTCAGTGGTCCATCCAGTCCAGCATCCTGCCTCACACGTTATCAGTAAGGATAATCTCATCCTTATTATCATGATAATAAGTTTGAAACAAGCGTGGAAGTAAATGAAAAATGAGGAGAAGGTGGCTGAAAGGTAGATAGAAATCAAAGCCTCTGTTAGAATGTTGTAAGTAGGGTTGCCAAGTGCTTTTTGAGCCGCAGCGGGGGTCCCGGAAGTGACGTGACGACGGCGGGCACACTGGGGGTGGGGCCACGGCCATCCGATGGAAAACCATAGAGTTTTCCCTTGGATGACTGTGGCCCCGCCCCCGGTGTGCCCGGCCTCATCAGATCTCTGAAGCTAAGCGGAATTGGCCCTGGTCAATATTTGGATGGGAGACCACCAAGGAAGCCCCGGGCTGCCACACAGAGGCAGGCCATGGCAAACCACCCCAGTTCACCTCTTGCCTTGAAAACCCTACAGGGTCACCATGAGTTGGCTGCGACTTGACCGCACTTGACACACACATGTGCGTACATGCAACCAATGTTCCCTCTAAGCTGTGGAACCTTGTGAGCAAAAATTCTACTTTGTGAGCTGCTGGCATTAAAGTTGTGAGCGAGCGATTTGGCTGCTGCGTCAATTAGTTTGTTCTGGAGCCCTCCTTCCTGAGCGGAGACAGAAATGTGTGAGCCGGAGGCTAAAAAACTGTGAGCCGGCTCACGGTAACTCAGCTTAGAGTGAACCCTGCATGCCACATGTATTTTTCTTTTCCGAAAAGTCGTCTGCCAGGGGATACGTATTATGTCCTGAAAGGCCATATTCTCACTAGGCCCCGGCGGTATTGACTTCGGATTACATATGAACGCTTGCTTCTCCATGCAGAACAAACAAACAAACAAACAAAATCGCTGCACGTTGAAGACCAGATGTCAGGGAGAAGATCAGGCTAAGAGCTTTCTCCCTGACACCCAGTTTTTCACGGACTGGGAATTCTTTGTATGAAGGAGCATTGCATAATGTGAGCTCCCCCCAGGCTGAAGAATTTATCACCTGAAAGAGAACTGGGTTACGAACATACAGAAACGAAAGAGGTACTGCGTTGTTCTCCCCCTGCCCCCAGTACTCTATGCAACACAACACCCTAGGGGTTAGTTCAGCATTCAGCATGAATTTCCCATGGGATTCCCAAGTCCATCTTCCACCCCCAGCAAGGGACTTTGGGGGGCGTTCCTGGAGGGGGTGGGGCATCCCCAACGTGATGACGTCACGTTGGGGACGTCTGCCGGGCCCCACCCGCCCGCCCGTGGGCCGGATCTCCAGAAACGG